CCCCTCTCCTTTCCGGATAACCCGGACCCCGCCCAACCCATTTTTAGGCCCCTGCCGCACCCAGAACCCACCCTGCCATCCCACTAGCCCCTATCATGCATGCCCCACCATCCCTGCCTGTTTCAGATGGATTTCCCACGCTTTTCCTACCCCTCCCACCCCCCACAGGCCTACCCAACCCCCGCCCCACCCTGGGATGGTTGTTTGGTCATTTATTTACCCCCTCCCACCCCCAAAAAATCCCTACGGCCCTGGCATCCCTGGCAAGCTCACCCCAGCAGCCTCAGAGAGCCTGACTGCCTTAAGACAGACTGCTTTATGACAGCCAGGACTGATCCCGTCGTACTGCTTAAACACAGTATTTGATATAGAATTCTAGCTGATAGAAGTGGTTCATCGGCATTAAACAATGTTTCTTTCCCTCTAGAAAGTTCTGCAATTGTCTTGGCCCCCATGGCTTCAAGATATTGATTCAGTTCGTTCAGGTGGCTCACTTGATGATACGGTAGCCAGCTAACATCTCCTGATTTCCATAGTATTTCAAATGTGGAGTTTTTTCCTTCTCCTTTATAGGATAGGATCTTTTCCACTGCCCACTCGCCCTCCAGGTCTTCAAGATTGAAGACTTGAGTATCTGTCCGACCAGGGAACAATCTATCATCATTTGGTACATGAATCCATAGTAAAGACGCATGGAAAACGTCGTGGACACCTCTTTTCCTCAGAGAGGCAGAGATATTCACTCGGAATGAATTATTTCCGAAATCTTCCATAATCTGGTATGGCCCAACAAATTTAGGGGCTAATTTTCGACTTAAACCCTTGGGGAACGAAATGTTCTTTGTGGAGACATATACAAAGTCTTTCTCCTTGAATGGAGCACGTCGGTGTTTCCTATTAGCATTGCGGACTGATTTGACACGCAATGCGATCAAGCTGTCATGTGCTCACATTATGGCTGTCTTCATCTTTTTGGCAAAAGCCCGGACACCTGGATATTCACTTGGTTTATTCAAGTCCCAAATTAATGAACGGGGCATCCATCCACTATTGAGAAAAAACAGGGTGAAACCTGTGCTTTCCGAACAAGCAGAATTGATCGCGAACTCGATCGCAGGCAGCTTCTGTACCCAGTCTTTCTGTGTTGTCCCAACACAATGGCACAACATTTGACCGATCATTTTGTTTGCCCTTTCGGTCGTGCCATCTGTTTCAGGGTGATAGGCACTCGACATTCGGAGTTTAGTTCCGATAAGCTTATGCAATTCCTGCCAGAAATGACTTGTGAAAAGTGGGTCACGATCACTCACAACTGAGGAAGGTAGTCCGTGCAATTTGTAGACATTCTCGAAGACTAATTCAGCAACTTCACGTGCAGAATAAGTGGAACGACTGGGCACAAGATGAACCATGCCTGAAAATAGATCAATGATCACCGTGATTTCATCAAAGGTGCCATCGCAGTTTGTTGATTCTGGGAACGGCCCAATGAAATCAATCCCAATAGAATCCCAAGGCTGTGTTTGAATATCCAATGGGTTGAGTAGGCCATATGGCTTTGAGTTATTGGCCTTGCTCTGCTTACAGACTGTGCATGATGCACAGAACTTCTCAATATCATCTGCCATGGATTTCCACCAGACATAATCACGTAAATATGAATAAGTTTTTTGGTATCCCAAATGAGCAAGAAGTGTATGTCCTTCCGAAATGATTATTTCTCTAATTTTCCGTCCACCCGTCCTTACATCGGGTACACACAGGATTTGTCTACTGTCCTGTCGTAAGTACAGCAAGCCTTCCTGCTTATCAAATTCAAAATTTTTATATTTGGTTGGATTGTCCACAATGGCCTTGAAAGCTGGGTCAAACTTATAGTGACCACGAATTTCTTTGAGCACGTCAACACCATCCAAGTCGGTTACAAGGTCCAGTGGGGACAAATCAGTAATGACCTCATCAGTGATGTCATCGTCATGTACACACGAGTCTCTACTCGTGGAGCCGAGGTTCTCGGGTGCAATGTTATCTTCATCTTGGCCCGCATCTGTTTCTCTGGTCTGTGTGTTTGAAGGTCCTGCACGTGGCAGTATGTGTATTACCAGCTGTTCTGGACCACGAACCGTGAACGAATCCTTTACCCGTGCAGCGAACTCGTCTGATGTCTCTGGCCTTCCTGTCTCGGCACCTTCACGCTCACGGACACGTTTGGATTTGCGACCAACATAGTTCACACTTGCTGTTGCGCACACAGCTTCCAATCCAATGAGAACAGGAGCCTCGATCATGGCACAGGCAACTTCCATTGAGGGAGCTGTCTCATTGTATTCCGTGTACTCACTTGGAGCTCGGACCGTCCCTGGTGCATCATTTGAATAGATTCTTGACAGTGCATCACTTAATATATTATCTTCTCCTGGCATGTAGATTACTTCGAAGTCAAACATGCTCAGTGTCTCGATCCATCGCACCCTCTGGCCAGTCAACTCGCGGTGATTCCATAGCATCATGAGACCCTTGTGGTCTGTGTACCAGCGGAAATGAATGCCAAGAAGTATGTCCCAATAACGCATCATGGTCTCGATGAAGAGCCATGCTCTGTATAAGCCTACAATTTTGCGGCCTCCCACAGTTAGTCAACCACCCACTTAGAGAAATAAGAAGTGTTATTCGCCACAGTCAGAGGCTTGGATTGACGCGGTAATACCTAGTCACAGTAAAGGCGCTGGCCAGTAATTGTTACAAGTGTTACCTTTAGTTTGGGAGCACGATGATCAATGGTGCTTAGCATGGTATCGGGAAAAGACTAGCCCACTTCACACCAAAAGAGTCACAAACCAAAGCACGGTCTATGGACTTGTCTAAGCGAGGTTCTAAACACGTTAAGCTAGTACAGTCAGTCAAGGGTGGAGAGCGAGAGCGTTATCGCGATATGGAGGACGGTCAAACACTACAAAAGCAAATGTAGTGTTTCATAGTTCTGAGACTACAAATCATACCCACCAGCCTACAGAACGGCCGGTTAGGTCATGATCATTACTTCATGATCACGACAAGAGTCATCGCGTTAACAGCAGCGTGCCAAGTAAGGTCTCAGGGACAAGTCAAGAACACCATGTGTTTTCATGGGATAACTTAATCACACCAAGACTGATATCGCAGTCCAAGCAAGCCGAGGACGCTCAAGAGTAGTGCAATGGCCGAGTTACAGCGAGAGGCCTTCCAGGAATAGCGAGCGGAACCAAAATGGCCATAGTTACTTGTCAGGGATAGTACCCAATTAGTACCCATGGCGCTGGTCCATGCTGTTACCGCGATAAAACCATCACCTGCTCCACTCCAATTTGTTATGTTGCATATGGTACATTACTTGGCTCGGCTCGTCTATATACCGATACCCCTAACCACGTTTGTATAAAAGGACTCAAATAGTTTAGATTTAAGCAAGCAATCGTTATCCCCCAGAATCTGAATTTCAGTTTGGTGCGAGATTGACTTCGTGTGATTGAGTCCAAGGGAATTTGAACCAAAAGCAATTAGACAAGCAAAGAGTGCTTAAAGTCGAGTTTTCGTGATAAAACTTCTAAGTCGGTCAAAGGACCATAAGCTAAGCGCCCGAGTACTGTAAGTTGGTCTGTGTACCATAAGTCAGTCAAAGGGATCAGTTAAGTCAAGTGGGCAATTGAGCCATTAGAAGTCAAGTCAGAAAACAGAACGAGTCTGAGGGCATTTCCAAGTTTTCTAGTCAAGTCACCAGTTCAGAGCATAATTTAAGATCAATCCCACAACCACCCAAAGTGCCCCTACCAAGTGTCGCTATCGCGTTAGACAACGGTGCTGTTGCATTCGATTGTATACCGTAAATCATCTCCCTCCCTAAATACAAATTTTGTTGGTTGGGTAGTTGTCCTGGTCAATAAGTTGTGTTTCCCTGTGAAGTGGTTGTTCGATCCACTTTGTAGGCACACTCCCGCAGCTACCACATCATCGAGTCCAGCCAAAAGTTCGATTTCGTGAACTGGATAATTCTGTTGAGCGGGTGATAGCTTCACTGAGTAGAATGCAGCTACAGGTGCATTTTTCCAGTCGTTTCCTTGGCTAATAACGCCGGCAACACCAGTGATGCATCCATCCGTGATCAAGTTAATGGGTGGTGCACCCGGCGAATGATCGATCAGGTGCCTATGGTGGTCACGGCGCCTATTTGCAAGCTCCTTTATCTCTTTGAAGGCCCTCTGGTGCGTGAAATCCCAACAGAAAGGTACGGAATTACTTGTCAAAGTGTGTAGAACACCCATAGGGATCCGAACACGATCAATATCGTCAGTGAGGTAGCTCACCGCTCCCAGAAATCCACGCAGGAGATCCTGGTTTGTTGGTACCTTCCAACGAAGGAGTGCGTCGACCTTATGAGGGTCCATCTGGATGCCCTCGTCATTGACAATTCGTCCGAGGATCTTCACTTTTGAGCATAAAAAATCGAGTTTTCCCTCAGATAAGTAGAATCTTTCTTGTTCTAAGACACCCAGAACGATTTTAACGTGCTTGACGTGCTCGGCCAACGAGTCTGAATAGATAATGATGTCATCCAGGTACACATCCATGAATTTTCCTATGTACGGCAAAAAAATATGGTTCATTAAGGCTTGATACGTCGCTGGTGCATTACAGTCTCCCATCTGGAGTACATTGCTAACCATATTGCCATTTGGTGTTGAGAAAGCAGTCTTCCACACATCAGAAGGGTCAATCCTCACCTGCTCATAGGCATCCTTAAGATCCAAAATCATCCGGTACCTTTTGGAGGCAACGCGATGCATAATCCCATCGATGTCAGGGAGTGGACTGGTCATCTTCTTTGTGTTGGCATTGCGGGCTCGCAGGTCGTTCACTGTGCGAAGTCGTGGCAGATCGCCGGGTTTCTTTGAGGGTTTCATTGCTCGGTTCGTCCCTCTGGCTTTTGGTATGAACAACATTGGGACAGTGTTTCTCGAGTTTGTGACCTCCCAACGGTGCGTCTTTAAGTAGGCATTTCGCTTGTCAACCCACTGATTTAGGAAAGCTTCAGGGCATCGTGCTGGACGCCAAGGATACGTGGCATTGTCGTCTATGAGCTCGATATGATGGTTAATGGCTCGTAAAGGTGGCAGCTCTGTTTCTTCAGCAGTTTTGCATAATGGAGCAGCGCATTCTCAAAGATATTCCCTAACCGTGTTGAGGTTTTCTTCTCTGAGCTGGGCAAGACTAGATGATAGTGTTCTCACTGTAGAACCTTTTACTGGTAATGCCTCATTACTTCCAATGACAATTCTCATTTGATTAAATCCAATCATTACTGAGTGTTGATACAAGAATGGGGTGCCTAGAATCATGTCATAACTTGAGAGGTTAATGATGTCAAAGGCCCTTTTTTCCTGGATACCTTGGTAGGCAAAATCAGTTGTTACTTTATTGTTAACTTTGGAACGCGATCCTAGAACAGCTAACTGAACAATTAAAGGTGTTTTCAGCTCCTCCTTATGGAGCTTGAGTTGATCTGCCAGAGTAGATGACATGAAATCACATAGTGAGCCAGAATCTATCAGTGCTCGAGCTGGTTTTCCATTAACATGAACTACCACAGTGATAGGATTAGGTACCACTCGAGATGGGTCTTTTACCATTGCTGCATTTTGTTGTGCAGCAGGTAGAATATCTTCTGCAAGCTGCTGGGCGTTTAATTCGACGAAATCTGCTTTCGAGCAGTTGGATTCATCCGCACTGTAAAGATCTTCCTCCAATTTGAATTCCTGGGCGCTTATTTCGAAGGTTTCATTGTCTAGCCATTCGGACGTTTCAGATTCATAAAAATCGTTGAGGGAATCATATCCCATGTCTCCTAGCTCGTAAGTCTCGGTTGGATTGTCTGCAGGAGCTTCTGACCCGTAAAAGTCTTCCCAAGAGTCAACCTCTGACTGGATTTCACTGTTGACATTATCTTTACACGAATTTTGCTCGTTGCTTTGTTCTGATTTGCAGTCATCGAATTCTGACGAGTCAGGACTGTAATAGTCAATGATTTCTTCGAGGTCTTCGTTGCTCGGTTCGTCCCTCTCGCCCTCCAGCTTTTCATCGCTGAAAAGGCTTGCCAGATCGTAGTAATCCAATGCCTGATAAAATTCAAAGAACTCTTCCTTTATGAAATGAGTAAGGCGTTTAAAATACCAGTTACGAATATCTAGTCATTGATTTCGCACTTTACAAGCAGGTATTTCGAAATGAAGGCCTATTCCGAAGTCGAGCACTCAATACTGGTGTATAGCGTCGTCCCAGTAGATGTCGAAGCAAGAGGAAAGTTTTTCCCTTTTGTTTCTTCGAGCATGCTAGGTACTGATAGAAATCCCTTCCAGTATTCAGCCTCCAGGCCGCATTTTTTGCATGAATGTCAACGTATGGTGTCTTCTTGTACCAACGTTTCAGCGGTTTGACTCGAACTCGAGTTCGTTGGGTACACTTGATTGCATACCATCTTCTGATCAAGAAATCGGATTCGGCGGCTCTCTGGGCATCAAGAAGTTCCTCCTCGTCGGTGACAGAGTCCATCACCACAAGTTCTTTTCCGTCAGAAGTCTCATATACCATGAAACGGTCGAACTCGCGTGCCTCATTACCTGGGTCACTGGGGTATGGCCTCATGACCTCAAGCATTCGTTTCACGGTAGCACACAACGGTGAGCCCAGTTTCCCTTCTGCATCTGGTATCTCCTCGGGATCAAATAACTTACGGGTGCCCTCCACAAATGTGATCCCAGGTTTTTCACCATCCTCTGAATCTTCTAGGCCATTCACGCCACAAGCAGCATTCTCGATCTCGATATAATGGGCGCTAACAGCGGCAGCGCCTTTGGTGGTGCTCTCGAGTAAGTCAAGTCTTTCCTCATTTGCAACGGCAACTTCTATGTTGAAACTTTTAGCGCCGGGAGGTTTACTCTTCGAATCCGACTTAACCGACTGCCCCTTTGGGCAATGTTTCTCGAAATGGCCAGGCTCGCCACACCGATGGCACTTCATCTGCGATGAAAATTCTCGACGAGGGTGGTTATTGAAATCACGTCCACCCTTGTTCTCCCTGTGATCTCTGCCTGAGCAGGAGTCATTTGGGCGGTCCTTTCAGTGATTATCCTTCTGATAATTATCTCTCCGAGGCTCTGAACGCTGAGGTCGATCTCCATGCTTATTGAATCGGTGGGATAATTCTGGCTTCGTCTCTTGGTGAGTATTCTTCTCACCATCAGTCTTCTGGTGCTTACGGTTGCTCGCTTCCATACGATCAGCCATTTCGTGTCGTTGTGCAACTTCAATGACCTCGGCCCAAGATGAGGTATGGTAATCAAGATTTTATTTCCATAATGCAGTTTGTAGCTCATATCGTAGACCATTCCAGAGTTTATCTACACGCTGCTGCCGGTCACTCATTCCAACGAGGCGGAACAAATTGAGCAATTCATTCGCATAGTCCGTAACTGAACAAGAACCTTGTACGAAATTGTCGAGCTTCTGTCGTTGCTTCAGCCGGAAGTCCGGTGGGAAGCAATGATCGAAAAGGTCTCTCAAGAAATCCTTCAACGTCCAATTTTGTTCATCAAATGCCACCGTGTTCTGGTAGAAACGGTACGCCTTTCCTCCCAAGTAATATGTGCATTTTCCGACTTCGGCTTTTCTCCCGAGACCAGCTTCTTCACTAAACCTTTGACAGTCGGTCACATACTTCTGAAATTTCATCATGTCTACTTCCCCGTTGTACTTCTCGGGGGGCGTGGGTGCCAACGGTTTGAATCAAAGGGAATTTCCTGGTGAGTCATTCCTCCTCTCGGTATGGTCATCTCTGCGTAGCTCGCCATTAGTCTCAGAATTGAAGTATCGACCCATTAACGTGTCGTGGGGTAGCTGATTACTCGGCTTCAGTGCGTTTGTGGGCTTACGGACCAGGTAATTATCACCAGGTGTCCTGTTGATGAGCCTCTCGATGTCTCTTGACATGGGCGTTGATGAAATCCTATTATTATTCGCAGTGCGTCTTGTATTTTGCTCCTTGACCAATCGCTCACGGAAAAGCTCTTCAAAGGCTTCTTTTTCCCTTGCCAGTGCTTCTTCCATTCGCTCGAGTCGCGCCTGATGCTCATTGAACGCCTGTTCCGCGTCGAACTCAGGTGTGTTCTCATGTTCTGTCATTCTATTATTAAATGTGTCCTGCTGATATGATGGACTAGGTTCCTGTCTCCTTTCTCGGGCTTCATTGAGAAGAGCTTCTTGGACTTCTGGGTCAACTTCCCTGTCAGGAATGCCGAGGTTTCCCCAGTTTTGAGGGTCAATGCCTTTGCCCTTTGACGGCCCATGCTCGAATTCCTCCTCTTCGGATTCCTCATACCCGGGATTTCTTTCTGGAGTTTCTTGGCTACCTTGGTGGAATTCCAGCTTGTCCACCTTCTTGAATATCTCCTGCAGGAGAGGCACGAGTAAGTCCGTGGTCCTCCTTGTGTTTTTTGCAATGTCTAAAGCATATTTTATTCTTGTACTATCATCCATATTTTCCTCCTCCTCGAGCTCGTCGAGAGGGGTACTATCGATGTGTGGGGGCAACTGCCTACTGACCGCGCGAGGGCGGTGGTCTACGGTGCGTACGCGGCGCGTGTTCCTATCACTGCGGGTACCAGCATGGTCCCGCATGATTGTCCCATCACCCTCTCCGGGGTTGGAGACCGGTCCCTCACCCGCGTGGCCAACAGCGGGGGGATTCTCTTCCTGCACGGAAACGGGGTTCCGCACAGCAGGCGATCCAGAGGCGGTGCCTCCCGACTCGTAGGCCGGCGTCGAAGCAGTCGTTGGGTGATTACCCTCCTGACTCTCGACCGCCCGTGCCTTGCTCTGGTTGCAGGTTGTAACGCCCGACATGGTTCTATAACAAAAGATTTAGTAGGGGGGTAAAGGGGTCGTCAACGCACCTGGACGACTTGGGTGATCAAGCCAAGGGTGGTCCGCGATGTCGACGACGACGAGGGGTTGTTGAGTGTAGGGGGGTAGTCGAGTAGAGTTGGTAGAACATAAGTTTACTGTCAAAAATATGTGACGGGGCGTGCTGTTAACACGAGTCCCGGCACACGGTCGAACCTCGAAAGACAGGCTAAAGCGGTGGATTCAAGGTCGTTCTACCTACGTAGTACTCGAGTCCCTTATATACCGTATATAACGATAGCGTAATCAAAATATAGTAATGTGATAAACGTACGGGAGTCCGAAATATGTCTAAGTCCAAACCGGCGAGAGCGGTCCGTCACACCACTTACCCTACATTGCCATCAGTTAGCTGGTGTACATGCTGTCATTCGACTGTGCTTCACCCCTGACAACAATGCTGACGCTCGTCCTGGCATATTGGTTGCAGATGAAGTCAGACTCAGGAAAACCTACCTCGGGATTACGGTAATAGCTGTCCTTTTGACTTGGTTATTCTAGGAATGGAGGGGCTTCCTCTCCCCCCACTCATAGGTTTGCAATTCATACCTGCCCTGCTCCTTCTTATTCTAACTTCAGTTCCCGTTATGCGCCCTTACCTCAGCCATTTGTCCAGATTTGAACCCCTCCCACACCTTATACTGGTACCTGGCACTCTTATGTCACAGTGGGACCACGAGCTTCGCATCTTATTTCGACTGCGTAGCATCAACATATTGCACCATCATTCATCGAAGGCTCTAAGGGAAGAGTTTTGGGTGCCAGACGGCCCTTTTCAAAGAGCAATGAACAGCCCTCATAAGAGGATGATCATTGTCACCACACATTCAGTGAGTGTTCATGCCTCTGACTTTTGATCTAACCCTGAGTGGAACACTTTTTTAAACAGGCTTTGCAGTGAGACTTCACCGACATATTTCGCCCAAAGGCTACAACCGGAAAGGAGCCCCCTTGGGCCCCACCACTGATTGGTGCGAAGGACAAGTCTCGATCGCTGTTCGGCTACATGTATTTTTTGGTCATTGTCAACGAGGCTCAAAATTATCGAAACGGGGGTTCAAAGCACACAGCCGTTCTAAAAGTGCTTGCATTAGCTCTCCTGCGACTCATCCTGACCACCACTCCTCTCCACACATCCACCAAGGTGCGTCTCTGCCTGCTCTACGCTCGAAAATATCCCCAACTTCTGTAACCAAACAGGATGTCACGTTCGGCAGTCGTATCATACGCAGAACCATCCACAGCAAGCCCCCTCCATTCCCCTTTCCCCAGTCTCCGCCTCTGCTTCCGCCTCTGCCTCTGCCTCTGCCTCTGCCTCTGCCTCTACCCCTACGACCCCGCCTCTACCCCTACGACCCCGCCTCTACCCCTACGACCCCGCCTCACCCGTCCATCCCTATTCTCCAACCAACAACTCCAACAACCCCAACAACCCGCAAAGCGCGCTCCTCCCCCCCACCCTCCTTCCTCATCGACGAGGACCCCTTTGCCAACCTTTCGGGCTCGCTGATGTCTTTGTTCTCTTACGCGTGGGCGTCGACATCAAGAGTCACGCTGGACAGGGACAGGGAGCGAGACAGGGACAGGGAGATGGTGGAAGGAGGGGTACCGCCCGTCCCGCTGTTGCCTGCGGTGCTGCCCATTCCTAGGTCGCTGTTGAGGGAGGTGCCTGAGAGTGGAAATGGTGGAGGAGGAGCAGAGGACGACTGAGGTGTTAACGTTGGGACTCGGAGAAGGACGAGCCGGGCTTCGAGCGGAAGTGCCAGTGTCAACGGAAGTGGTGCTGAGAAGGAAAAGGAAAAGAGAAGCCTGTTCTCCTTCTCTGTGTGCAAGCGCACAAAGAGCGAGGCGAGAAGGGCAAAGTCGGCCCCGAGCTCGCCCTCGCCCTCGCCTGTGCAGCTGACGTTCTCCGCTATCGCCCCTCCCGCGCCGGCGCCTGTCCCACCACTGCCCATGGTTTCATCGACATCGACACACCCCACATCCACGATGACCCCTCTGCCTACCTCTCCTGATCGTTACCCACCATCCTCATTCGCCGGCCCCTTCGGACGCACACACGCACACCCCCGCCCCGCACCTGCACACCAGCGCCCGCCCTTCTCGTCCTGCCCGAGCCTCCCCTCCTTGGACATCCTCGCCAAGATGAACATCGTCTTGGGGCGGCAGGTGCGTCTAGACTGCAGGCTCGAGGAGGACGAAGCGTACAGACATCCGTGCTGGTAAGGCCGCATGTTTTCTTTCTATTTTTCCCCCTTGCTAATGGCGTCCTAAGTCTCTCATTGATCTTGCTGGTTCAGGAAAGGCGACACCGGATAAGGAAAGGACTAGAGAGGGAAAGTACATCAACACCAGGTTAGCAAAACACCTTACATACCCATGCAAAGAATTGTTAACGAACTCTTCCTCTATAGCCTGCTAACCCTTGGAACCGTCATCGGCACGCTCGCAGATAACGCTGCAAAACACAAAGCCGACCACGTTCCATACCGCAACTCTAAGTTAACACGGATGCTACAGCCCTCGCTCTCTGGCAATGCACGCATCAGCGTGATATGCACGATAAACCCCGACGTCGGCGCCATCTCAGAGAGTATGAGCACGCTGCTCTTTGCGAAGAGGATCAAGAACGTGCAGCTGAACGCGAAGAAGAAGGAGGTCATAGATACGGATGCTCTCATTGAGCGATACCGTAAAGAGATTGAGGAGCTCAAGGCGAGGCTTGCCGAGAGGGAGGCTGAGGCGCCTGTTCGTAATCGACGCCTGTCCGCGCGAGAGGTATGTCGCTGCAGAAGTTTACATTACCAGCTTGAGGTTGATTTTGGTGGGTTTACAGCAAATTGACGAATCGAAGGCCATGAGAGACCTTAATGGCCGTATTCAACAACTGACGAAGCTCATCTTAACCAGCGCCACAGTCGATGAGAGCAAAGAGAGTGACAGTCGGCCGTCGAGTCCTGTCAAGATTGATTTCGACATGTCTCCGTATCAGGTCAGTCCCGATATTTTTAAAAGTGAAGTTGAAGAGCAGGATTCTGACTTCAATGGCCCATAGTTGCAACAAGAGCTTCTCGCTGCTCGTCTCCAACTCGACACACAAGCAACCAGATTCTCTCCCTCGAAGCCAGTCTGCTTGCCCGGCCACCCCTGCCTGCAGATGCGCCTTCAGAGGAGAAGGACAAGCTCATCGCCGAGCAGGCTAAGTCGATCCGCGAGCTCGAGATCGTCGTTCGTGGGTACGAAGACAACCTCGGCGAACCGCTACGGAAAGTCAAGGAGGATGTAGAGAAGGAGTGGTCCGAGAAGTTCGAGGAAGAAAGAAGGAAGAGGGAGGAGAAGGAGAGGTGGGCAGAGGAGGTCGTCAAAGCTCTGGAGAAGGAGAAACAGGTTCGTTGTTGTCATTTTCCCGAGTGGTAGAGAGGATTTGAAGTCTCGGATTCGCTGTCTAGATGCGGAAGAAGCTTGAGGAAGAACGTCGAGCTCTCGCCAGCTTCGTCTCCATGTTCGACTCCCTTGGTTTCACAGCAATTCCCCCCTCGAAGATGAACATCCCCATGCCCACACCCGGCGGGGCAAAAACAGCCTACGAACGACGCCAATCCCGGAACTTCTCTTCCTCATCGATGAGGTCAAGCAGATTGCCTCGCATATCGGACGCGACGGCCCAAGCAGAGCACACAGGGCTCTCGCAAGACCTAACTGAAGTAGCCGCTGACCGCGACTACAGTCCCATGCGCCTGGACGGCCTGCAGCGGGCTCGGTCACAGCCCAGCCTAATGGACCAGGCAATGCCCGAGGTTGTGTTGGACGGCGTCGCGGATGTGAGCTTCGACGAGATGGAGGTGGAGAACCAGCTTTTGGACGTGTCGATCTGCGTGCCTGACTCGGGGTTGCCAATGAAGATGTTTGGAATCGCGGCCTTGGACAAGTTTGGGGCGGTGAAGACAAGAGACGTGTTCGGCGGCAAGGAGAACATACTGCCTGCTTGAGATGTATATTATGCCTGAGGTCGTCGTTGTATAAGCGTGGTTGGAGCCTGCTGGACCGGCCTCGAAGTATGTTCCGTTTGCCCTGTTGTTTTTGGAATCGCTCTTTGTTTTCTGTTTCTCGTCGCCATTGTTCCCTGTATTTTTTTCTGTCGTCTCGCTCTCCTCACTGCTATCGGACTCCTGTACACAAATTAACGTTTTCGTTTTCGATTGTAGTCCTACTTAGCTCCTAACGCCGTCCTCCCTCTTGCAGATTGTAGCTGTTCTCGTTTCGGGGTCGAGCAGGCCGGGTTATGAGGAATATGTTGAAGTCGACTCCCCCTACGCGGAGAATTCGGTCCGTTGCATGGTCGAGAGACTACATATGACGTCTGCCGTTGACATTTGTCAAAGGGTCGCGTTGCAAGGAAGGCTTCTGAGTTGAAGCTCACGTTCGTTATCTTTCCCTTCAACCACCAGCGACACAGCTCTCCGCCGTCCTCGCCCGTAATGTCACGAAGGCAGAAGTATGCGTCGACATCTGCAAACTATGTTGATTTGACAGAAGACGAACCCGCCATGGCCCCTAAAGCATCCGACAAGAAAGCAGGAACCTGCGAGTGTCCAGAGGTCCAACGCCTACGTGCAAGATTGCAGGACGTCGAAGCTGAGAAGGGTCGGCTCGCTTTGGAATTGGCGGAGACGAAGGCCCAGCTCAAGGACACGCAGGCTTTCCTGGGACAGACTGTTATGGCGGCTAGAACGGTGTGCACAATGCCCATCCTCTTTTATTCCTCCTTTTTAATCCCAGTTCTGTGCGCAGAAGGGGCCTTCTACTGCAACATCGGGGTCGTCAAGGTCTATAGCACCTGCTGAACCTGTTAATGCACCGCAGAAACGAGTCAGTCAATCTCACCCTTCCTTCCGAGCGGGCGTGCTGAAAACCTTATTTCAGAGTCGCTCGCCTTCAATCACATCCGTCGACAATGGATCCGCGCCATCTTCCAAAAAGCCAAAGAAAGAAGTAATACCAAACCTACCAAGGGTTCAGCATTCAACGAGAGCCAAGGCGAAATCTTCCCTTCGTCCACCCGATCCTACCATAGAAGAGACTCCAGAGGTCGAAAACGCAGGAGCCAGCCAGTCGTTGGAGCGCCTGAAAGACAGTCCGAAAAAGGATTCACTGGCCTCCAAGGTACGTGCTCCGATATTCAACATCACGGTTCTGTTGCGAGCTTTCATCCTCCAGATAGAATCTGCGGGTAAAACTGGTGCAACGCCGATGAAAGTCGACTCTCGCTCGCTGAATGTGAAGCAACCGGCAAGCTCTGAACGCGCTGCTCGCCGTATAGAGTTGGCCCAGCTCAATGATGTTACCAAGTTGGAAATCTCTCCCGCTCCCTCAATCCTCAGCGTCTCTCGCGCATTTCTTTGTGCAGCATATGGAGGACCGTTCATGTCTCTCACGCAAGAACTCAACTTCAAAAAGCCTGCTGATAAGACGGGCTCCATTCGAATAGCCATTTATCCTAAGCCTGACATGAACCCAAAGATGCCCAACACCCCCGGTGCAAGTGGTTTCCTATACTCGTCAAGGGAGGCCGTCATTACATCGGCACCTTTCAGCCTGTTCTACAAAGCCTGCAAAGCACCCGTTCAGTGGAAGTACCTGGGCGATTATAAGACTGAGGTGTACGGCAAGATGTCAGGAAATTCGTTCACCAGTCAGCCAGCCACGGTACGTTGTCCTCAGACATGCTGCCCCAATAGTAGGCCAACTGCTACTTGAACGCCGCTTACAGTTTAAGAACACGTGGGCCGAGCACATCCTGAACAAGCAGAACTACGCAAGGATACGTGCACGAATTGCACTCCGGAGAGCCGGTCATCAGGTGTCGGACGAAGAGGAATTGAATACCACAATAGATGGAGATTCACAGAGTGAAAATGCACTCGAAGAGCCAGTGAAAAAGCCCGCCAAAGACATTGTCGGTGATGAAGTCTCCGCTATCATCAACGAGAAAGGTCTTCCTGTCACCAAACAGGACATCATAGATGCCCTTTCAAGAGGAGACGAGGTGCGTCTTCTGTGTGGGGTGCATGAACTCGCCCGACAACCTGACGAGTGGCCTATGCATGCAGGGTATCAAAATCGTCCGGATGACATGCATTCTGTATGACCGTGACTTTGCTCATGACATCGAGAGAAGATTTGTTGCTTGGAAGGAAGGTGGCGAAATGAAGGAAGCACCCAAGGAAAACACCAATGGCAAGAAGAAGATGCGTAAGGCTGCCACAAAGCGGGCTAGCAAAAATGACACAATACCAAAGGGCTCTTCATGTGCTAGAAGCTCTTCCTCTGCCGGGGAACCTAGAAGGTCATCGAGACCTCGACGTGCTCCTAGACGTATGGAGATATCGGACGAAGCCTCTGACGATTCGACTAGAGAGTCTGAGCGTGATTGGTCCTGATGCTTCTTACCTTTTCTCGTCTGTTTATCAACTACGGAAACCATTCGGAAAGATAATATTCTTCTGTCACTCCATCTTGAACAAAGATCTATGCTGCAGAACATATGCAACTATTATTCTTATCCAACGCCTTAGGTGGTGCTTTGTGACGTTGGATTCGCAAAGCGGCGGACGCTCAAGCGCTCAAGACCCAGATGAATTATGTTCTCGACCCATTGAACAAGCACTGAACAAGCTGCTTTCAGAGATCGTTTCTCGCGTCTTCATGGTCTGCCTTCCCGACGGCGGCGAACACACTTATCCATCTTTGCGAGATCCGATACGACCGCCCTCCGCCCTGCTTTTGTTCGGAGCCGTTTGCAAGATGGTGCAAGGTGGCCTGGGCGACACCTCAGGCCTCAGCTCTGGCAGAGGATCTGCCTTTATCTGGACTTGAGGAGGGCATCCATGCAAAGGGATATACTAGTAGTCGAAGGGTGGCTCACACACTCTGGAAGCTTCCCTCTCACAGTGCATTGCTTCACCAAGGGCATCGAGCCCTCTCTGACAAACGGCACCTATTATATTCCCTCGTTGATCTAGTCAACCTCCACCCGGTCGCTGGACATCCCTTAACGTTAGAGCCCCTCGTTCTCTTTTATCCCGCTTTCGGGTAGACGGAGGGGCCGGTAATCTCAGAATCATCCGAATACACGATTCCGATCCACCCTTTATGGGCCACTCTGGAGTGCAGGCTCCCTTCAATTCCTTACCTGTCACAGTATATGGACTTGCTTTTCAATCCGTCAAAATCGGCTGGGTCAAAGTCACCCATCTCGAATTTGGTTCACTCTCCGTCGAAAATCGCGTGCGATTATTCAAGCAAGCGCTCGCTTTAATCAACTGCGAGATCCACTGGGTGTGAGAAGGCAACACCGGGCTCCTCATTCCGGAAGATTCTATTGTCCACACCCACCTTGTAACTCGAGACGTTCGGTTCACGCCCGGCAACCTGTCCTGGTCGCCTCTGCCTAAGTTGACACTCCGCTCTCTGGATGTGCGGAAAGAAAAGTTCTAGCGTGTGAACGACAAGTAGACCTACAACGACGTTTGGACAATGATATATAAAATCAGAGGGGGTGGCGTCACAGACAAGTGTGCGGGTCGTGTCGATGAACATGCGTACAGCGTCTCCGACTATGCCGAGTCCGACGTCGTTGATCACAACGAGCGCCCGTGGCTAGCGGCTAGCACTGGGTGCGATGCTGTCGATCACTCATTGCGCCAAGACCAAGTTCGAAGATCTAGCCGATTAATCATCACTCCATCATCAATGACATCATCCACGAAAAACCGAAGCGCACCGTGTGCTCGAGGGCTCAAATTCAAAGGACACTCTACTTTTGCACCCCGTAAGTATTCTTCGAGTCCAGACGCGTTTTTTCGCGTTTCTTTTTTACCGCACCAACTTGGTCCCGGTGTTTCCCAGAGGCGTCGTTCAACGTGCGCGTTCCTTCCCCAGGTTTCCTGAACGTGTAGGAAGTTGGGGATTATGCCCAAGGCTGATAGGATTTCTGCGAAGAGGGTTCACGGTTTCGTTGGGGTTCGCGCTTCGAATTCCTGAGGAGTCCAAACGTAAGAGAAGAGACAAGAGGGAAGAGAAGAGAAGGATCGTCGGTCAGGGGGAGGCGTTTTCAAGCTTAACCTCAAGCTCACACTCATCTGGGAACTTAAAACCAAGGTAGGTAAGATTGTTTGTTCAACGAAGGCGCGAAGGAGGGACCACTACCTTTGACAGTACCAGTAACTTCATCTTCTCAAGCTCAAGCTCAAGCTCGATCGACGCGTCGGAGATCCCATTGCTCACCTAGTCCTCTAGTCCCTCACACGCCAAACGCGCCCCAGAACCCACCGCATCACCGACTTCGGGGTTTCCATTCCATCCAATCATCTCTTTATTTCCCTTTCTTTTTTGGCCCGACCCCCGTACCTCCCGGACTCCTCCCACTGCAGATTTTGAACTCCAATCGTCTATAGATCTGAGAGGAGGATTGAGGCTAATTAAGGAGGGACCTGTGGACGTGGGCGTGCCTGTGTTTGGGCCCGGGTTCGCCTTCCTTCCTTCCTTTGACGCGTACCACCATTTGCTCTAAGCCACCTCTGCCGTTACTCAAGGGAGTGACTCAGACACCGTTGTCATTCGATTCAGACATACGTACGTCACACCTCTACCGCGCATGAGAAGCGCTCATACGAATGGATAATGTCAACTGTGTGCAGGCGCCTCCGCGTACGCGTCAACAAGGCGCTCAAACTCGCCGACTTGAATCACGACACGCTTCCTTCCTCCGCTCCGTGCAATTGATATTCGCACCATTAAAGACAAAGCCATCCCAGAACTTGAAGACCGCACGGACACAGAATTTTTGTAACTTGTAGGCGGGTCGTTCTTAAACGGGACCTCCCCGTTTATGCTCCTCCTGAGTCATCCCGCCTTGGCGTCTCCACTTCGTCGTAGAACGATGTCTGACTTCCAGGTTGCCCTCTATCATATTACTACACCTTTACTTCTCCTCGCACTCGAATTCGCCTGCTATGGGGCCACAATCTAGCTTCTCGTCCATCGTGGATTCCTTAGAAGGTCACTCATGGCTTCTGCTGCCCCTAAGCAGCTGCCATGCTAGGTTTCATGACAATTTCTGGGGAAAGAGCATGGAAGACGAGAGGGACGCATGGCGACAGTCCGAAGGGCTTCCACCGTTGGATGACAAAGCAGATGTTGGAGAAGTCGGCATTCTTCCTGGGTGCTACGCGCTCAAGGTCGGTATTCCAGGCTTCGGCTACACCTCAATCTGGCTCCGTGCTGAGTACATTCGCATCTTCAACGTTTGCGAAGAGTATTTCGCCAAAATCACTGGCCGACAGGCAAAAAAGGATTCCAGTCGGAGGCCACCAAGCTTCGTGATATCGGGGCAGCCTGGAATCGGTGAGACATCCCGCGGTTCTGTCATTTCACTGTCCTGATTCCCCCATATTACAGGGAAAACCCTATGGCTCTATTACGCCGCTCGCCGCTTCGCCGCAGAAAGGCGGGCTTTCATCTGGGTACATGGTAACGGCTGTTACCTCTACACAGAAGAGGGGGTATTCGAAGTTCCCGACAACTGGCAAGACAGCGATTTCATCCCTGGCATTCCCATCTGGACATTGATCGATTCGACAAGCGGCAAGGACACCCTGCGTGCCTTCACGGCGTCCCAGATCTACTTTGTCGTCTGCCTGGCTTCGACGACTCGGGATCGACGGATGAAGCACACCATTCCTTTCCGTCTTACCATGAACCCATGGGGTAGAGACGAGATGAAGCAGGCATATGCCAACCTAGTTTTCCATGTCAATTCCGTTAACCAACTCTGCTCCTTGCTTTAGCGCTCGCCTCTACGGACTCCCAGAAGACGCCGTGCTCGAGAAATACGACCGCCTTGGTCCCATCCCTCGGATCTGCATCGACTTCATCCCTTACCAGCTAGAAGACTACGAGCGCACCCTGAACAAAATTTTGAAGTACCATATCACGCCCAGCACCCTCGAATCGATCTTGACCGAACCAGAGCCCACGGCGGACGGCATCGGACAATATCTCTTTCTCCTCGCTCGCGCAGAGGTGGACAATATGTTGCGCTGCGTTGTGACCCCAATATCGCCCTACATTGAAGCAGCGCTCATCAGTGCTCTTCGTGAGGCGGACTTGAAAGAACTTATCCGTGTTTATCACCGCTTCAAAGCGTGGCCCGACCTCTATTGTGGAGTCGTTCCGCTTTTCTTCGCTGCGCTTGTCCAAGGTGCACTAGCGAGTAATTTCTTCACCCATGGCTTCGACCCGATGGAGTTTGGACCAATTGCACCGACGAAAAATGGGCCCTCCAGCACCAGGTGGTTCTACCGTCAACAAATTTGTGGACAGTCGGGTGACTCGGAGGACGACGAGTCCGTATTGCTGGCAAATATGGGAAATACACGCTTCATCAAATATCCAGACGTTGGTTTGGATGAAGTTCAGCCGGACCGATTCTACAGCCTCGAACCGTCCACAAAACATGGGGTGCAGTTCTTCATAGTCTCGGAAGGCAACCTCTATCTGTACCAGTTCCCCTCCGGCACCGACGCAAACAGACATCCCATTAGCCTTGCACTCCCTTTCACGTCGACGCCCGAGGGTCTTCCGCCACGAGGTAACTGGCGCATGGTGTTTGCAGTGCCAGAGTCCGAGATTCCTTTTGAGTTCACAATTCTTCATCCACCTCAACTCGACAATATTGGTATTTATGCCGACATATTCGACACCAATTACTGAACCTCGGGGACATTTGTGGTATTCATACAGTTGCATGAAGTGTTTTGCTGGTTAACCTATGATGAACAATTGGCAAATGATGGATCGTGGAAGCTAACAAAGTCCAGCATGTCGTGCTCAGCAGATTGTTGTAATGGAATGTAGCACGGAGATCGCCCCCCGACCATCCACGTGGTGGCTAAATGGACTTGGCCAAAAATGGAACAGGCGCCCACATCCGAGTTGCATTTTCGGTAAGTGTTTTCTCTTGAGTCCGAAAAAGCTCATAGATGATGGCGTTTGTCCTGCAGATCAGGGCCTCACATTTTCAATTGCTCCAACCTTTATATCTTTTCGTCGCGTATGAGTGGAGGTTATGGGTTCGGGTAGTACTACTCTAGTATTTAAATACTCGAGCCATCCAACGAAAATGCATATTTCATGACTGATTGTATTTCCATAATACTAGTGTGAGCACTGCAAATTCTCAGGGTGAGGCAGGATCCACCTGCTGTGTTGAGATGTCGCATCCTGATTCCAGATAAGGGTTAATCGAGATAGGGCAGGGTGGCAACGAACCTCAACGAAATCTTGACCTCTCTTTTCCTTTTCGGGTAATTTTCCAAAATGGTGTTCAAACCGGGATTCGAAAGGAGAATCGGGAAGCACCCATGAAATCTCATCCGAACTGGTGGAACATGAAACTCTGCCACGCAATTGGCCTCCACTCTCTGAGTGGTGTGTAGGACGAATTGATCTCCTCGGAAGACTTTCCAGAAAATACTTATGTTCTCGCATGTCAAGCTTAAAATCACAGGCTTGAGGGGTGTGCCCCTCATTAGACTTCGAAGGACCAGGGTCAAGAGGGTATGTGAAAGATACCTTGAAAAGACACCTTGATTGAGGGAATCACCTTGGGTTGCTGTGAGCCAGAGTGCGGGCACGGAAATCGAAGGTACGGCCCAGAAACATTCATCTGGGACTTGGCAACCGTGGAAATAGGGAAAGGGATTGGTTGGAGGAGCAGAATATTTGGCATATCTGAGAAAGTAAAACACTCTAGTAATGGACCATTAGAAATTAGATAACTGAAACTCCTTACAAATCGGTGAATTAGTAAGGGGGGAAAAGGTGTGGTGCAGGCTTTGAATAGGAATATTTACTCGAGCAAATGTGGCGGAGAAGTTTCATTGAACAAAGAAGCTTCCTATTCCGGGATTTTCATTCCGGTAGCGAGGCAAATTTCAGACGTTCTAAGCTAGTCCCCAAAGTCAAATGGAATGCGGCATTCCGTTCAGTGCCTCATTCATTTAGTTCTGATGCAAAGCATTTGGGCTAAACGGACTTGCCCGGCGAACACCAGCATGCTCTGTGGAACATCGACATTGAATGAGGGCACAGGCAAGCCTGCTCTTCCATTTGTCTTTCTGCAGCCAGAGGGGGCCCTACAATTTCCTGAGTACAAGGTGAAGGGGAGCTCTGTATAAGAATGTATGTGGCAGCTGGCACTCAATTCACAGTCTTGGTGAAGCACAGGGAGCTGAATGTTGCAAGCTTTGTTTGCCATCTAAATCCATGCTCAAATCGAAGAGACAAATAAACTGATAGGCCAACATGTTTCAAGATGATACATCTCTATACTCCATTTGGCCAGTCTTTCTGTCCTGTGGTACCTACTTAAAATCAGTTTTCAAAATCATCCTGCTAGATTTGACAACATTGTAACCAGCCCCCTCTATCTATTTGCAATCTTGGCATTAAATGTCTCTGAGATGCTGGTCCTCGATAGCATCTCCAATTTAAAGTGGGCCTATTGCGAAGGACGAAAATATTCTTACAGTGGATCTGACGCTCTCCCATTCAGTGGCAAAGACACAACTTAAACCTCAGTCATTTCATAGTATTTAGAGGTCTCAATTGTAGCAAGTAGAGCTAAAATACCAAGCTCGCCCCCTTCTCGTCTAATTCAATTCAGTGCGGCGCCTATTTTTGGAGCCATCTATCGAACAATGGCTATTCTTGTCCTTAAGTTGAACCAGTCTTGAGGAAATCACAAGGGAGGAGACAAGCGCAACATGCTTATTTTTGAATTGATTTTCATCACACCCCATAAGTGTATCTTCTCGAGGACATTCGGACGGGTGTTCATGTTTAGCCCTCAGACCTCAGTGCTTTCTACCGTCTTGATGACCACATATCAGAAGTGTGGGCGAGCGTGTGCAGAGAACTGAAAGCAACTGACTCGCTTGCTATTTTTATGAAACTCACTGGGCTTCGCTTAATCTGAGGGCTTTTAGAAAGGTGATAGGATTAAGTGGGCTTAATCTGATTAATCTGTATTAATGTCTCAACTAGTAGACTATTAGAAAGCATGAAATATATACTGGATTAAACTGGATTGAACGGATTGAACGGATTAAACTGCTGAACGTGCCACCGATGGAACGGCTCATTGTGCATTGTCCTAACCTGTGAGCGTTGTCTCCCACCTGAGATACCTTAATGCTGAGACAAGAAACAGTGGCAAATGGGAGGCCATGGAAGTCGCCCTTGCAATGACAGAGGTAGCATGGGCAGTGGTTGGAGCAGATTGGTGAGATAAGAGGATGAATTAGGAGGAGCGGTCGAAGGATGGGGGATGTGCGCCGAGGGAAATGGTGAGACAGCGAACTCGCCTTTGCCCTTCTCTGAATCATCGGCCCTCTCACATCGTCTCACCATCTTTTCACCTTGTTCTCACCCTTCTACCTCACCTTCCTCTCACCATCTCTCATTCCACCATCACGGTGATGCAGGCAATGAGCACATTGAGCTGTGGTTGGACATGCCGGGGAGGTTGGCACTGGCGAGCTGTGCCTGGTCGTGGTGGGCATTGACCATGGTAGGCGTTGGCCGTGGTAGCGATGCTGGCGTTGCACTGGCCACTGAATTGTGGGCAGCAACGACATTTTGCAGTTGGTGGGGGTTGAGCCTATACGAGGCGGGAGCGGGTTCTTCGAACTGCATAGATAGCAGACTGGTGAGTTGAGGTGGTAGGCGCAGGAGACAAGCATGGAACCTGAGGGATAGAAGTCAGTCTGCAAGGATAATAGGCACGAAATAAGAGGCATACCGTGTGGGTCTTGTGCTCCATGGGTCTCCCCTTGCTTCTCCACCATAAATCCATCATTTATGGCCAGGAAAGTGCTAACATACCCACTAAGAGGTGAGGGGGAAAGCAGGACAGCAGGGGGCACAAGAGACGGAGATAAACTAAAGATAAGGGCATGTTTGTTGGTAAAAGGAGGGCTGATATGTTTCAGATTCGGAATACATACCTTGTTGAAGTATCTTGTGCCAGTTTGAAGGCAGACGGGTATTATAAGGCGATGGCGAGACGGTGGAGGCTGCAACGGTGGACTCGGTTCCGAGGGACCAACCTTAGCACAGCCACCCCAAGTTGAAGACCGAGCGACACGTTTCAGCAAGATCTAAGCCACTCCTTATATATCACCACAGGAGGGGACGGCGTTCAGCACGAATGACAAAAGGACCTAGAAAGAAACAATAAGAATGTGGCGAAGTGGCTCATCCTGCCACTCGATCGGGCCTCTTTTGATGAGCCACAAATAGATTGCCGGGTCATTATAAGATGGGGAGTTCTCCCAGCGCGTTTTTCCTGTCCCCCCAGCATTATGCCAGTTTGCATTCCTCCCCCAACACCTCCTTGGTGTTGGTTCCAAGTTTCAGGTTTTTTTTCTTTGCATTGCGACCCAGTGACAATTATTTTCATTACTAATTGTTAATCCTACCGCCGCCTGACCTTCGGGTAGCCAATTGTTGTTCCTACATCTGCCGCCGTACCTCTACCAGGAAAGCAGCCAAAGTGAGTATTCTGGTGGTGCGCTTTGTACATGTTCGACCGCATACTTCGCAAGTGTGGATGAATGCCCTCCTCATGCCGCAGTGCGTCCTCTTGATTTAATCCTCTGTCATTGCTTAAACCAGGTCATCAGTTTAATTGCGCTGAATCTGTTTAATCGGATTAAACAGATTTTCTTGTTGCTCTTTGTCTTCCAGCACTCTCAAGTCGCTTAATCCAAGTTGACCAGTCCTGTCATTTCACTCCAAGTCTCCATTATGGTTTAATCAGACTAATCCATTTAAGCTGCCCCAAATTTTAATCCGTTTAATCCGTTTTTATTTTTTTATCTGTCGAGTGCTGCCATGTAAAGAGTAGATAATAATTAGAAAAATGTGTTTTGACCTTTCAACGAGATTAATTGGATTAAGTCACCTTAATACTATCACCTTTCTCAAAGGCAGGGGATTAAGCTAAAACGAGGGGGTTACGGTATTTTTTGGGGACAGTATTTTTTGGGGACAGAGGGGGAGATGTGAACACCAGAGTCGTGCTCGGTGATGGAGGCATTGTGTATGAGCGCTCCCATGAGGAGTCCCTTTCGAGTCATACTGGTACATTCACTTATGCAAGGTGGACAAATTCTCAGACGGTTATTCTATAGCCCAGCGTGAATCGAGTATATATCTCCAGTGGACCAGGCTTCAGAGACGAGTTTAGAGATCTGTGGATGAAAGGGATCCTGAATTACTGATTGCTGGCAGTTCAGAGACTTCAATGGGCAACAATAAATAATTTGAGAGCTGTCTTACTCTCATTTATTTAATAACCGACTTGTGGTACTGAAATAATTAGCCTCTAATGAGTCAGATAAGTAGACGACGATGGCATGTAAAATCAGAGGCGGTGTCAGCGCTACATACAGGTACACACGACGATCAGCACTGAGCCCAAAATAAGTGTACCATCGAACGTGCGTACAGAGCCTTTGACTGTCCCGAGTTCGACGTCGTTGATCACAACGAGCGCCCGCTCCTGGCGGGCGGTTAGCGCTGGGTGTCGCGCAAAGCGGTGACAGCGTTGATCACTCGTTGACAAATTTAGACACTCCTCCGCGCCAAGCATTACCTGCCCACGACCGCCTCTGTGTTACGGTCAAGACTCGGCTGCCATGGACGTGGATGGAGGAGACAAGAGGTGCGTTGCTTCGACTAGCGAGGACAAACAAAGACTATGTAGGTACGGGAACAAGGACAAGGTGAGACAGGTGAGGTCATCGAGGAACATGACCATCACACTCTGCAGTGTTCAACCAAATGCATTGTTATTAATCTCCTTCTTCACCCTCGCACACGCTCTACTCTCATATACTCGACGCGCTTCCTCCCCAACGCGCTCGAGACCAGATAGGAAGAAATACACGAAAATCTGGGAGGTTGTCCGAAAGTGGTACTACGCGCATGCTAAGCGGAGCTGGCAGAGAGATCTAGCCGATCATCTACCGACATCATCATCCAGCACCGTATGGGCCGTGGCAGACACAGTACCCTATTTTTGCACCCCGTAAGTTTTCTTCGCGTCTCGACGCTTTTTTCACCTCTGTCCTGTGAGGTCTCGCGCCAAAGTCGCGCCGGTGTTTCTCACCCGCATACCTTGTTCGAGCTTCGTATTCGTAGAGTCCTTTCCTGCGTTTTCCGAATTTGAACAATTGCATATGTGAACAGGAAGTCGGGGAGTAAGCTTAAGGCTCGGGCTGAGAGAAAAGACCTAGATTTCTCCGGAGATGCGCACTGTGCGATTTACGATGCTATGAGAGCTTAGTGCGTCCTCCTTCAAGTTCATCGATCATCCTGCACCTGGGACTAGAGCCTGAGCGCGACGAGCCTGAGGTATCCTGGGAGGGTGTACCGTTTCGTTGGGGTTAACCCTCCCGCTTTCCACTGTGGGCGCGGTGTATTCGCATTCCCGACTTTTCACCTACACATCCCGCGTGCCCTTGAATGAAAGGGATGGAAATGCACGCTTCGAATTCCCGACCTTGGCCTTGAGCTTGAGCTTGAGTGTGAGCTTGAGCTTGAGGGAAATCGCGGCCCCTGAGGCCTGAGGCCTGATTGAAGATCCTTTTGTTCTCTTCCTGTCTTCTCTTACGTTTAGACCCTAAGGAAGCAAGAAACGCGACCGTACTGTACCCACGCGCGAGGGTACAACGGCTCGTCTGCGCATGCTGCGCTCCGAGGCAGAACCCCGCGCCTCCCGGGAGGCGCTCCAATTTGAATTCCCAATCATACTTAGATCTGGGGGTAAGATTCAAAGGAAGTGCTTCCTGCCCGGTGTACATAGATGCGATGGGGTACCGGTTCAACGCATCTTCGACATATACCACCTGTTTCTTTGTCGACTCTGCCTCTGCCGTCGCCACTGGTATTCGACGCGAGTAGGTACGTCAGCAGTGCGCTCACGCGAGTCATTGTTTAATCGAAGTGGTTGTATAGGCGCCTAAGCGTACGCGGCAGAGACGGTTAAATTGAACGCACCGCACACGACCCCCACAAGCGCACAAGCGCTCGAGCTCAGTCTCGCCGTCGCGCGTGCGCTATTCAGCCAAAGCTCAAAGACGCGATATTCAGAAGAGTTCCTGTAGCTGAAGAGAGCGCCCCAGGGAGTCTAAGTCTGCTACAGAGGACGATTCTCAGCTTCAACTCGTAAGTTGCTTTTCCAAGTCCTAAATTCTCATTCCGTTTTTATTTTTTTGGAGATGCGAACGTTTCGAAATTTGCCTCCTTTCGGCTTCCTCTCCTTTCGGCTTCCTCTCCTCGTCGTGTCGTTTGAATCCCGCGTCTCCCGTCCCGTTTCGTCGCGCGACGACCGATGTCCCTTCATTCATTGACCTCTTGACCGTCTGGTCTCGCGACCGCTACCTCGACGATTTCATTTCATTTTGCTTTGTCTTGAAAGTTTACTCTACTCTATCATGTTGCCTTGGGCACTCGGTGACACCCACTTCTCTCTTCGTCTCCATGTCTTTCTTTCTTCCTTCTCTGTTTCTTTCTTCCTTCCTTCGTCTTCCTCCTTGCTCTTCCTCTTTTCCTCCCTCCCTCCCCATCCTTTTACACGTCCCGCCGACGGTCGTTCAGCGTTTCTCATCGAACGCGGCCCAACCTCGGCGACCAATGACCATGGACACGCCGGCGAATAATCGCTTATTTTAATTTAACCGTAGCCCGCCGTCGCGTGTGTGTGCGCCACGCCGCGTGGCACGGCTGTCGGGAGCTGAGCGGTGACGACGCGACGCTCTGGCATGGCGACATGGACGTGTCGTCGTGAGTTGCACCCGCCGTCGGGGGTTTTGGTGTGCGTCATGTGTTCCTGCCCAGACTGAGTGATCAGTACAGTGGACAGGACAAACACTTTCTGTCGCTGGAACTTGGGAGATTCTTTCTCTTTCTTTCGAACTCTTGAACGTCGAAAACGAGCGAAGAGTTTGGAGCTCTAGCTCGCGTGCCGATCTCATTTTCCTTCTCCCCAATCTCTTCTCGTTCTACTCCCCACCCAATCTCTTCTTCTTCTTCTCTCTCCCCATCCTTTTCCACTTCGCATTCCACTCGAGCGCTCTATCCCCTCGATTTCTCCTTTTCTCCTGGCCTGGCAGACACATCCCATCAACCACGCACACGCTCAAACTCAAGCTCTCCCACCTGCAGATCTTACCTATCCCCTGTTGATCAGGCTCTGCCTCTGTCAGCCTGTCACGAAAGAAGGGTGTGCGTGCGTGCGTGCGTGGGCGGGTTATATTTATCACCGATCACCGATCACTTTTTCATTCGACGTTCAGAAGCTCCTCTCAAGCTCACGTTCTGCGCTTCTTGACACAAGCTCTTGACAGATTCCTCCGTCCCTTTTTTCTGTAAATCCCAATTTCTTTCCTATCATTTTTCCTTCTCACCGTGCTCACACTCCCTTTTCTTTTCTTTTTCCTCTGCCGGCTCCCGGGGTCTTTTGCGAAAATCAATCTCTTCACCTCGTTCCCTCCACCTCCGGCGTTCCGATTCGCTAACGCCTTCTTGGTCATCGTACCCCAACATCATCTACTTAGGTCCGAGTGACTCTGAGGCGTGCAGGGAAGCAGGGCCTTCGGAGATTCTACGAGTACGGGTGGAATAGAAAGGCGAAGGAACAGGGTGAAGGAAGAAGACGACGACCGTCGTGCACGACTACGGTTCAGACTACGACTACGACTTGCGAGGAAGAGGAATTCAGACCCGCAGCGGCGCGAACAGCGTTCAGCACACGCACGCACTCGGCGAACAACGCCCTATTCAAGCCGTCTTCGCGTCTTTGCTCTGAGTCTTGCAAGACCGGAAGAAGGAGAGAACGAAGGAAAGGCTGCGGTGAGTGGAGAACTTACGTCGATCTATGTGTATCTGGCCTGTACCCCCCCCCCCCCACTTGAACGCGAACGTTAACGCTAATGCTGACGTTGATTTCCAACACACACAGAACCTACATCTTAAATAACGCGCAACACCTCACCATCCGTGAGGGAAGAGGAAAAGTAGGAGACGACGGACGGCAGGGCGACTAGCGACACTCGGAGGAGTCAGCAGACGCACGCAGTGCGCGTCTTACTCATACAACAAGACTAGGGAGAAGGAGAGAACGAAGGAAAGTGTGGAGGTGAGTGGAAACTTGCTTACTCTACATACTTCGAGGTCCTACCCCGCTCCTGGTCCCTTGCCCACCTCTCCTGCTCGTCTCCTCCCGAACGCTGACACTGTCGACTTACACCCACAGAACCCGCATCCTAGCACAACATCCTAACACATCCTAGCACACAACATCCTAACACATCCTACCACATCTTAACACACAACCTATCTCCTCGATAGAACAGACCTAATGACGATATCGACAGCGAAGAAACGCCGCCGGCCCTCGCTACAATCTATCCTCGTCCCGGCGCGCTCCTTGGGGAGCAGCAGCGGGTTGTTCTCGCCGAGCACGTCGCCGACGATGGCAACACACCCGTACGCGGTACAGCCGCAGCCGCAAGAGCTGTCGAGCCCGACACAGGTGAGGCACGCGACACCACACCCACATACGCACCCGCACCCACACCCGCACCCACACCCACATGAAGGGGTGGCGCAGGAAGGTCCAAGCCCGACGCGTCTCACCGGCACCTCCCCGGCAAACGAAGGTTCTCCCCAACTTGACGAGTTCCGCGGAGGGATCAACACGAGCCCCCTCGCAAGCCCGACGAAGAAGACGAGTTGGTCGCGCGTCCAATCGTACGCGTCGGGCGGGAGCAGCGGTGTGCGTTCGAGGGCGGGGAGCTTGGTCGGGTCTGTGGTGGGCGCGGTTGTAGGAGCTGTTGGAGGAGGGAAGGGCGATGGAGGAGTGAAGGGCGACGGAGGAGGGAAGGGCGACGGTGGTGGTGGTCTGGCGAGAGGGAGTAGAGGAAGTAGAGGGAGTGTGGGAGGGACGGCGGGAGGAGCAGGTGGAGGAGCAGGAGGATCAACTTCAACCTCAGGAGTAGGCGCAGGGGTCGGGACGGGCGGAATGGTCGGCGCCACAGGAGGGCCAGTGCCGGTACTCCCAGTGCAGGGAGCCGGTGAGGGTGAGGCATCCGACGACGACCTCCAACTCTCGGCTCAAGGAATATTCGAGACGTTGCCGAATAAAGTGTCTTTCTCCGAGACAGCGACCTTGAAGGCACCTGTACTCAGCATCGACACTTTCTCTGGTTCTGGTTCTCTTGCCCCCTCCATTGCCCTTTCCCCTGTCTCCACCTCCACCTCCGCCTCTATCCCTACTACTCCACTCCATCCCTCCAACAACCCCAACCACCCCAACCACAAGCACAAGAAAGGCGCGCTCCTCGCCCCCACCCTCGTTCCTCATCGACGACGACCCCTTTGCCAACCTCTCCGGCTCTCCGATGTCTTCTTTCTCTTATGCGCGGGCATCGACGTCGAGGGTTACGCTGGACAGGGACTTGGACAGTGTACCGCCCGTCCCACCCTTGCCCGTGGTGCTGCCGATCCCGCGCTCGCCGTTGAGGGAGGCGCCTGAGAGTGCGTTTAGTGCAGGTGCAGGTGCAAACGAACACCGAGGCGTTGGCGTTGGGAGAATAGGAAGCCGGCCTTCGAGCGGAAGTGCCAGTGTCATTGCCAACGGGAGCGGCGGAAGTGTCAGCACCGAGAACGCGAAGGACAAAGAAAAAGAGAAGGAGAAGAGAAGCCTATTCAGCTTCTCTTCCCGCAAGCGCACAAAGAGCGCGAGTGAATCCAGAGCGAGAAGGGCAAAGTCGGCCCCGAGCTCGCCCTCCCCTGCGCAGTTGACCTTCTCTGCTATCGCCCCTCCAGATACGAGTTACGCGGAGGACGCTCTACCTCCTGTCCCTCCTCTGCCCTCGTCCATCGCACCTGGCATGCCCCCTTCAGCGTCATCGTCGACGCCGACTTCTCCGCACCGCTCGCCGCCATCCTCATTCTATTCCCCAACACAGACACAGCCATCCTCTCCGCCTTCACCATCTTCAACGCACTCCCAATCCCAAACACCTACTCGAAACCCCTTCAGCGGCGCCTTCGCACGCGCACACGCCCGCCCCGCACACCAGCGCCCGGCCTTCTCGTCCCGCCCGAGCCTCCCCTCGTTGGACACACTGGCGAAGATGAACATCGTCTTGACGCGTAAGGTGTGTCTGTGTCTTTGGTTTTGGTTTTGGTTTTGTATTTTGTGGTCTGAAGTTTCGTCCTACATAATAATCGCTTCGTCATTTCATTTCTCTTTTCTTACATGGCGTCGTTTCTCCTTACTATCTCTCTATTTTCTTTCCATTTTTTTGATTACGATTACGAGTACTAATGCCTCCCCCTCCCTCCCTGTCTTCCTACAGGTCAGGAAAGGCCGCGTAGGCGCTGGCCTGCCCTTCGAGCCGTGGGACAGCGCCAGCCTGGGCGTGCCGTCCGACGATGAGTATGGCTACGGTGTGCCCTCGCATTCCTCCTCTTCCTCCATTTCGTCCTCCACCGCTTTTTCGAGCACCGCCCTCGCTTCACCGTTTTCGAGCACGAACACCACCCTAACCTCCCCGTTCTCGTCCAACACCTTCACAAACTCCGTCATGCCGCCGTTCGCACCTGCGTTCGCCTCTCCGTTCGCCTCTTTTGCTTCCACAAGCAGTAACCCTGGACCAGAGCCGCACGTAGTGCCGGAGCCAATTCCTGCCTCAGCGTCAACATCATCCTCGACGACGACGACGACGACGACGACGACGACGACAACTCCTCAATCGAATGGACATACAGCGACAGTGGAGCCGATACCGAGGCAACAGCCCCAACCGCAGCCGCTCTTCCCAAGCCAGATCCTAGCGCTGGGAAGCGTCGCGAGCGAGGTGGAGGTGCAGATGCAGATGCAGATGCAGATGGGGGTGGGTGGGCGTCGAGTCATCGGTCCTCCGTCTGTTCCTTCGCCTTCGCCATCGTCTGTCAATGTGGCACCGCGTCCAACCGTCCCAAGGGGCCGGGCCCGGACGTCGAACGAGTCAACGTCGACGATGCTGGACTTGCCACCGATGCTCGCCCCGTTAAGGATATCAGGTGTAGGTCTGGGGTTGGGACTGGAGGCGCTGATGAGTCCTGTCGAGGTGTCGGAGAGGGACGACCGTTATGTTTGGGAGCGGAGCTTGGAGGAGCGGATTGGCGGAGAGGGGGAGGAGAGGGACGACGTTGACTCGGAGTACGCCGCGGAGGATGATGATGGGGAAGACACCAACACGCAGACGTTCTTCTACGCTGCGTCGTCCGCGTCGATGCAGCCGCCTATGCAACCTCCGACACCGCTTCGACGCTCCGTGCAATTACAGATGCGGCCCTCCAGGACGTACACCCCCGCGAACTTCGGACACGCCCCGTCCACGTCGGTGTCGTCCGTGTCGTCGCTGTACGAGTTCGATATGGAGCACCCGACCGATGTTGACGCTGGGAGTGGGTACGCGGAGGAGGAGGGGGGGCGGTTGTTCTTCGACGCGGACGCGTTTCGCGAGGCCGGGCACGAACCCGAGCCCGAACCCGAGCCCGAACGCGAACCTGAACGCGGATACGGACGTGAACATGAACCAGAGCGGTTTGCAGCTCAGGCGTCCTACCCTTTCCCGCCTTCGCAGCACGCGCAGTACTCCCAGCACTCGCTGCACGCGCTCTCGCGCACCTTCTCGAACCAGTCCGACATTTCCGACCACGCTGACCGCCACGACCTTGCCTCCCATCCCGACCTTGCCTCCCATCCCGACTTCGCCTCCCATCCAAACACCTCTGAGCACGAACATCTCGACGCAGAACCTTCGGACTCCTTATACGCATCCTCACTTGGCAATTCCGAGTCGGCGACCTCGCTCGTCCATTCGGAATCCGCAACGTCCCTCAGCTTGTCGAGTTTGAGCTTGAGCCTGGGCGGGAGCTTGAGTAGGAGTTTGAGCTTGACGCGCAGCGAAAGTTTGGCTGGGAGTGTAGACGCGAGTGTGAGCGACGCGTCGTTCGACCAAGACGCCGGCGCTGAGGGGGTAGAGGCAGGTGTGGACGCGATACCATTCGAGGGTCTGTTGATGCGCTCTGCGTTTGCAGCTGGCTCTAGCCACAGGCACGCCGAGGACACCTTGGCGTTTACTTCCACCTCAAACCCAAGCCCGAACGCGAACGCGCTGCAACTCCTCCAAGGTCAAGGTCCAGGCCTGACGCGCGCCTCGTCCGGCGCGAGCAGCAGCGTGCTGCAGTCGCCCGAGGTCGGGTTGGACGACCATGCCGATTGGTATAGGCATGTGCATATGTTTCCATCGGCGTGGGGTGGTGCGGATGCAGCGGGTATGATGGGTGCGGGTGCGGGTGCGGGTGCGAGTGCGATGCGTGCGTGGGGTGGGTTCCATGGGTATGGGGATTATGCCGGGGTTGGGTTTTCCTATGGTGTAGGGTACGGTGGAGGGGACGCGGACGACGAGGAGGTAGACGAGAAGGATGCGGAGAAGGTAGACGGGAAGGAGGTAGACGGGAAGGAGGTAGACGGGAAGGATGCGGAGGTGGAAGGAGGACCTGAAGAGCGGGGACGCGGGCGTGCTGACGATGACGGCGCGCGTGATCATGATCCCGTTGGCGTGGGCGTGGGCGTGCACGCGCCGCTCGGTGTCATTGCCATCAATGAGGCTGATGATGGCGGGGCGTGGGAACCCTGCCCTCAAGCCGAGCCCAGCGAACGCGAACGTCAACGTGATCCTGGGCCTGAGCCTGAGCCCGAATCGGATCCGCGCGACCCAGTCCGGGCTGAGTCTCGTGCGGTGCGGTCTTTCCCGTCTTTGTTTTCTTCGCCTTCTCAGTCTGTGTCTTCGTCTTCGCCCGAGCCTGAGCCTGAGCGGTCAAATTCTCTGCGTGCTGCCGTTGATCGTCTTGGCTTGGGGTTTGGCGGACACGTCGACGTTCAAGAGCTCCTCCAACAAGCAGGACAAGACGAGCTAGAAGGCCAGGTTGAACGCAGAGAGGAACTTGCTGTTGCAGGGAGAGACGAGCAAGGCACCGTGCAAGCGAACGATCACGCTCAGCCTGGGTTAAATACACGGACGAGGTCCAGTCTTGGGCGAGGAAACCCGTCATCCGCCTTTACCTTCCCTTCTACTTCCACTTCGACCTCGCCGCAGCTGCCAGCCACCCTTTCCTCGCTCTCACACCCACACCCACGCTCACCCTTACCCTTCTCCTCACCATCATCTGTACTTGCACCTGCACCCTCCTCACACGCCGCTCCCATCACCTCCAGCCCATCCTCACCCTCACCTCCAGCCGCCCCCGATAGCCTATCGCCACCTCCACCTCCATCCGCATCTGTATTACCTCCATCACTATCAGGCAACGGCGATTCGTACGCAGGGACAGGCTCGGAACTTGCCTTGAAGCATCAACGGGAGTTACGAGACCAAGAGCGTGGAGTTGACGTCGACGGCGACGGCGTTGTTGTTGTTGAGTTTGGTTTAGGCTTAGGCTTTGGCTTAGGCTTTGGAGTTGCACCACTAGCATCGTCAGCATCACAGGGTGTTGGTTTCGGCTCACTTTCGTCCTCGTCCTCGCAACTGCACCACCACCTACTTCAGCACGAGCACGAAAGAGCACCACCACCGACGCCGGCGACACTCAGCGTGGGAGAGAGCTACCAGACGGGATTGGAATTCGAACAACAACAGGAAGGACAAGGGGAAAACATGCCTGCGTGGGACGCCACAGTGACGAAACACGGAGCGCACGGCTACGGCTACGGCTACGGCTACGCTCAACATCAATCACCACCCAACCTACACGACTCACGCCACCACCCTCACCACCAGTACCAAGAACAACAGCAACAGCGCCTACACGATCCCTACCACCAACAGCAGCAAGACAGAGAAGGACAGCAGTACCAGTACTACACCCACCCGAACGGGTCGTCGTCTACGTCGTCGTCTTCCGAGCGCGCGACCACTAGCACGAGTAGTGCAGGCGATGGGTATAGGACGGCGGGCTCGGGCTCGGGCTCGGGGTATGGTCGGGGCGAGGAGGACCCGACTAGGAGCGGTAGGCTTGGAAGGGCGAAGGCGACGACGACGGGAAGGACGGAGGGGTTAAGGGGGCTGACGGAGGGGATAAGGCTACAGGGAGGGACAAGGGAACAGGGAAGGACGGAGACGGCACAGGGACGCACGGCACCTGTGGTATCGAGGAGCAGCAGCGGCGATGGCGAAGAGGAGGTGTACGAGGATGTGTTTGACCCATATGCGGAATACGACCCCCAATCTCAGGCCTACAACCACCACCCATCGTACCACTCGCACTCGCCTTCGTTTGCGAACATGGGATCGCCCCGCCAAGATGCGAGCTCGTATTCGAACGGGGCCTCGCGCGAGCCGTCTCGTAGGCCCTCAGCTTCACCGTCGCCAACCCCTGCACCTGCACCTCCATTTGGCGTCAAACCGCTCAACTTGACGAAAACGAAGGCGAAAGCGGCGTCGGCAGCCCATTCGCCATCTTCACGCCACCATCACTCTCCTCATCACCAGCAACAACAACGGATGCCCCCCTCACCTCTTCCACTTCCGCAACCACAGCAAACTCGTTTCCCGACCAGCCCGATGGCAGGGTCGTTTGCACAGGCAAAAGCTAATGGCAAGTCTAACGGAACTCGGGCCACATCGCGGTCAGTGTCTGCTTCAGCTTCAGCATCGGAGTCAGAGTCGGAGGGAAGCGGGGACGCTTATGGTACCGAGAGCGACGCGAGCTCCGCGGAGGAGGAAGGGATGAAGGAGAACGAGAGCGAGAGGGAGAAGAGTAAGGGGAAAGGGAGTGAGAGCAGCGACGACGACGTCCCGCTCGCACAACGTATACCAGGCGCTCTGAGCGCGCAAAAGTCGATTAGGAGGCAGGTGAGGGCGGAGAGGGAGGCGAGGAAGCGGGGTGCAGGCGCTGGAGGTGGCGCTGCTGCTGATGGAGGCCGAAGGGGTGCAGCAGTTGGTAGTGGTGGAGGGAGAGGAGGAGGAAATGGAGAGAGGGGGAAAAGTAGGAGGGATGAGAGGGAAAGGGAAAGAGAGAGGGAGAGGCAGGATACGCTAAGACCTGCGGGGGCTGGGTCGGGGTACGGCGGAGGCGGAGGAGGCGTGATGATGTCGAGTACGCAGGAGGCGGTGATGGCTGCGTCTTCGTCGTCGTCGTTGGGCGGAGCGATGAATCTGGTGTCGCTCACGAGCTTCGCGCACCCGGGTTCGAGTTCGTATGCGTCTAACCACCCGACTTCGTACAGCTCGAACCACCCGACTTCGTATACGCCCAACAACCACCCGTCGTCGTCCTACACCTCCTCCGCCTCCGCCTCCGCCTCTGCTGGTCTTACCAGTCCCACCGTCAACCTCACCTCCAACGCCAACACCACCAACCTGAGCGCCAACGCGAAGATGACCCCCAACCCTAACCCAAACTTAAACCCGAACCCCAACCCAAACCAGCAGACGGTCTCGGTCACCGTCAGCCAGCGCACGACGGGCACGGGGCCAAGGAAGAGGACGATGACGCTGCCTGCGCAGGCGGTGGCGCCTCAGGGTCTCGGTGGTGGTGGCGGTGGGGTGAAGGGTGTGGGTCAACATACGCAGGGCATGCAGGCGCTGATGTCGCCGACGCTACCCGGCACCAGTGCGGGTCCGAGCGGGCACAGCTCCTTCCAGCCGCCTGCGTCACACCATGCTTCATTCCAGCCCCAACACTCGCATCATGGGTCGGGACAGTACGCTCAGCAGCAGCCCGCCCCGCTGAACATCTTCAGCCCGGAGGATTTGGCGCGGAAGCTGCAGAGCGTGAAGCAGAGTGCGAGTTTGGGCTCGGGGGCGGGGATGGGAGTGGGAGGAGGGGTGGGTGAAGGTCAGAGGTCGCCGTCAGGTAGGGGAGCGTCGGCGTCGGCGTCGGCGTCGTATATGCAGCAGCAGCAGGCGGCGTTCCTCCAGCACCAGCAGAGTCAGCAACAAGGAGGACAAGGAGGAGGGTTGCATAGGGCCGCGACGACAGCTGCAGCGGTGCATCGGAGCAAGACCGCCACTAGCAGGACAACCACCAGCGCGAACACACCAGGCCGCCCGTCGCATGAGGCCCACCCACCTGTGCCCGGAACCGGGACGGGGACAGGGCAGGAGTTCTATACCTCTTCGCATGCCACGTCGTCTTCGCAGCCAGCGTCCGCATCTGCAGCCTACAGCACGCCGTTGAGTACGGGTACGGGCCGCGCGAGGAGCAAGTCGGTCAAAGAGAGCGCGTCGTCATCGTCGTACGCTACCCGACATGGCCTTGGGCCGTACGCACACCAGCACCAGCACCCGCCGATGCCTACCTCACCTGGGTCGCCCTCTCCCTTACCCGGTTCTATAGCTACCTCCATGAGAGTCTCTTCGGATGCTCAGCAAGGGCAAGGAGCACACAGCCTGAAACACTCCAGGTCGTTCCACCGAGGACAGGGACAGGGTGGGGGTGTGGGTGGTGGGCGGCAGCGCTCCATGTCGGTTTCTCGGCCTAGTGCGGACAGGGATAGGGAGAGGGAGAGGGGGTGGGAGTCTGAGGAGCCTGTACCAGTACCACCCTTGCCTGTGGGCTTGGGGTCGAGGCCGAGCGGGGACGAGGGGCAGGGCCGGAAGTTGGTGAAGCCTTTCGCGCATTCCTCCGCCGCTGCCGACAAATCAAGTTCTGCGCGTCCTTCGCTCGACGTCGACCCTGCCTTACCCTTACCCTTACCCACCAATGGCCAAGCAGGAGCAACAGGAGGCACACAGCAAAGGATATACGTCGGCACGCTGCAGCAGTTCAGCATGGTCTCAGTGGCGCCCTCCACGAGCGCGGGCGAGGTGATTGGGCTGATGGACGCACAGGGGGCGCTGAAGGGGTGGAAGGGCTCGGGCGGGTGGATGGTGTGGGAGGTGTGGGGTGATTTTGGGTTGGGTGGGTGATGTTTTTTTCTTCTTTGGCTGGGTTGTTATCCCGTTTCTGCCTCCGCGAGGAATCAGGGATCGATGGCATTGCTGTGTCGTGCTCGCGTCGCCGGCGCTTTCGTCTCTCCGCCCTTTTCTCCCCTTCGCTCTTTTCCCTTTGCACCACAGAGATGCGATGATGCTAACTGTTCTGTTCCTGACGCAGAGCGCCCAGTGCGAAGCTACGAACTCCTGGCAGACGTGCAGGCCGGGTGGCTCAAGGACAAGGTCTCAAACCACTTCGTGCTCAAGCTGACGCCGTTGGCCGTCCCTCTTGCACGTTCGGTGCGTATCCAGTCTCCTACCACGAGCATATCGCAGTGTTGCTAACCACGATGTGTTCGATGTAGGCTATACCGAGCATCGCGCCCACACACTCTGGGTACGTCGAGTGGGAGGTGAAGCGCGGGAAATGGAGCAAACGGTACATGCAGCTAAGGGAGCATGGGATTTGGCTGTCGAAGCGAGATAACGTACGTCTATTATTTTCTCTCTTCCTCTCTCTCTCCCTGTACCTTTCCTCTTGAACCTAACATCGCCCCTCTTCCAGAAACGCGACGAGGTCCTCCTGTGCTCGCTGTCCAACTTTGACGCGTACCACATCACACGTGCGCACCGCGCGCCCAAGCCCTTCGCCTTCGCCATCAAGTCGACCGACAGCCTGTCGTTCTTCGAGGACACGAAGGACTACATGCACTCCTTCGCGTGCCACGAGAAGGACGGCAAGGAGTGGATGGAGAAGATCTTGGTGGCGCGGGTACGTCCCCTCTCCCCTCTCCTTTCATTCATTCTCCTATTATATTCGTTGCACGACCTGATCGTGGTTTTGCAGTCGTACGTCCTCCACCAAGAACGCCACGTCCTGTTCAACCCCAAGCCGTCTGGCGCTACCAATGGTACCCCGAACGGGACGTCAAACGGTACAGGCCTCGCCCGCTCGGGAACGCGCAAGGTGGCTGTGAAGCCGCTCATCGCCGCCCCGCCGCAGTACTCTGGTGCGACTGTGACGGTGCCCACGATCCATGGGGACGTGTTTGAGCCGGGGTCGTTGTTGGGGAAGCACCATTGAGTAGAGGGGGTTGGGATTTATATTTGTTTTTATAGTTTTTTTGTCTTTTCTTTTTCTTTTTCGTCTTGTTTTCTTTCTCTTTTTTTTTGTTCCTTTCATACATCTGTCTTCTCATCTTGGTTTATCTTCCTTTCTCCTTGTTGCACTACATACCATACCATAGGCGCAATGTCTGTTGCTACATCTGCATCCATCCATCCGTTTTTGAGTACCGCACGCTATTAGATCTTTCCCTCTACACAGCATATATTTGTCTGCTCATACATACCATTTATCGTCAATTCACCGCCGTACATAGGTCAACCAACAAAGTACTTTATGTAAATGTGTAAATACTGATCTCCCCTGGAATCTACTTAATTAAACCGATTGCCAAGGTGGGATTCCGCTTCGTACACGCTGATGTCGTCGAGTACCAGCTGGTGAACTCGAAGGGATTCTGGGATGGCAGCACGATGAATACCATGCGCCAATTGCTGCGTGGTGGAAGACTCGGGGAGTAGAGTCGGAAGTGAACGGGACTGCAAGGTTCACTGGGTACATATCTGTCAGCGTTCCAGGGGAGACATTGGAAGAGATAGAGTTTCTCATCAGCATGTAGCATGAAACAATGGACAGTGTGTTTGGTGGATGGTTCGAGGGTGTAGAGGACATCTGGTTGAAGGCTACTGCTACTAGTACTCCACCTAGACTATATGCTGGTTGGGTATCTGAAGGTGCTTTAATAGGGGAAGACATTGTTACAGTGGCATTTTGCGGCATCCAGAAAAGGGAGCACACCTGTGGGAAAGTGAAGTTGTTCAACAGCTAGATCTGAGCTCATATTCGTTGTCCAAATATAATGCAACCCACTGTCTTTATTGCCGCCACCACCCGCCACCATGCCCAACACATGTCAGAACGCAGCCACAAGCGCAAACACAGTCTGCAGGACTCGCCTGTCAACCTGTTGAAGATGAGGATGGCGCTGAATCTCCTCAAAGCCCTCAAGGCAGAGCTGGATGGAATTGAGGAAGCCAAAGAAGAGATGCACACCATCTTGGATCATGTCAGCTTGCACTGGAGAACACACTGAAGGGTGCCAAGAAACCAGTATGCTTTATATTCATCCCATTGATCCTGTCATGTGCTATTGCTAATGATACCCCAGAGACTGACTTTCTCAACTGTTGCAGCAAATGACCTCAGAAAGGCTGGCATCATTCGGAAACATCTCGTTTTTGAGCAGGCAAAAGTGATTGGGTCAACAAAGGAGCTGACAACAAAAGCAGAACTTGAAATTGTGGATCTTCACTCACAGATCAACAAGATATATGTGCACATTAACATGGATGTGCATAGAGTTGCATACTCAGCTTCGAGGTCATCTGGATGAATCTTTGGATGAATCTTTGCTAGTATGAACCTGGTTCACACATGATCGATACGCAGTACTGCTCACATTGGCAGGGATTGCCTCAACTCAAGAAAAGGGTATTGCCATCCTTCCAGAGATGAGGATTGCTCAAGAAGATGGGGTCAATATATCTAACCCCGTTTCAGGATATGAGTTGTGGTTGAGCGGTAACGTCAATTACACAGTTATCGAGTATGAGGATGTGGGGGACAACAAGGGTGAGGCAAACAATCAAGCTCTGTTGCTCTGCTAACTGCTTCAAGATGTTCTCAGACTGCCCACTCACACCTGGCGGATCCCAAGAAGACGCGCTCGAGATTGCGAAAGGTTGCCTATTCCTTGTTGAAGCAAAACGCCAGAGTCTTGAGCAGAGTTTGGTGTTGTATGTCCCGGAAGCTGTTAGTCAGGCAATTGCATATTGTTGAAGTCTGCGAAGTACGTTCTCGCCTCCCGTCTCGTTCTTCTCCTCTGAGCATTATCTCCTAGCCTTCCAGAGGTCCGTTTCTGTCTGTCTGATGGACAGAGATGGATTTTCTTCATTGTAAAATTGGAAAACGGGAAAGTCACATACTATGCATCAGCAACGCGCTCTCTGAACAGAGATGTGCTGGAGAACTCTGACTTACCATTACATGAGATTGTGCAGCTTGTTTTCAAAGGGGTAAGTTTTTCTATCAGCCCTACCTTCTCATGCACAATAATGATTTAAAATCTAGCTGAGGCCCACTGCAAGTGTAACCACCTGGTGCTGGAGAGCCTATTCACCCTTGGCATGACTGGTCCAAACTCCATCGGGTCAAAGCCATGGGTGAAGAAATTACTCGCTAGCACGCCTTGGACAAGTGCAGCAAAGAAAAGCAGAACAACTCCACGATAGAGGTTGGGCCGCACTCTGAAGTGATGATAAACACAGACAAGTTCTTTCAAGTCCGCCTCACAAAGAGCACTGGTGAGTGCTGCTTCAATGTAGGGCGATATCGGGGTCACAACGCAGGGCAACATAAGTATTGTCCACCTCTGCTCAAGTGAGGAGAAAGAGGTACTGTCCAATGCCATCCATCATGGGCTCTGGTTTGACCAAGATCAATTCGAGGGTGTTGGGTGTGATATGGCACTTCAAAATATTGTTCAGGGTATGGTCATAGTCTTCTTCTAGCTGATAAGGGGTGAAGTCGATGCAGATCCGAGGGATAGGACCAAGTTGGTCATATTTTTCAAGCATGTCGTCTTCTGGGAGCTCATAGAGGCAAGCACTAAAGCAAGGAGCAGAGTCGGTTAACTGAACTGACATGACATGGAAAACAAGGTTGGCTTACGCTTGCCTCATCTCATCTCTACCCAATGGGTTCATGGTAAGACAGAAAGGAATGGTGTGCTTCATCCGTCGATCCTGAGTTGTCAAAGCCAGGCAGACAACAAAGTAGATCTGGGACACCATGAAGGCATGCAGAGTGTTCTTGCCGCTTGTCAAATTGATCAACGCCCAGATGGGAATGCCAGGGATGAAATGGCTGTCTTGCCAGTCATCAGGAACTTTGAATACCCCCTCTTCTGTGTAGAGATAGCAGCTGTTGCTGTGCACCCAGATGAAAGCACGTCTTTCTGCAGCAAAGCGGCGAGTGGCATAATATAGCCATAGCATTTTCCCTGCCATGACACGCAGTGGTCAGGAAAGCAGATAACTGAACTGCGGGATGTCTCACCAATTCCAGGTTGTCCCAATATCACAAAGCTTGGTGGCCTCCAACTGGAGTCCTTTCTCGCCTGTTGCCCAGTGATTTTGCCAAAATACGCTTCACAGGCATTGAAGATGCAAGTGTACTGTCACATCCCATTCCTGAACCCATTGTCCCATTGTCCCATTGTTCATTGTTCTGGTTCATCAATGGGCTTTCCCTTCATTGTTCTATTCATTATTGTCTTCATTGTTCTCTGTCATTGTTCTGCTGGCATTCATTACATAACCTAGATCTTCTCCATTGTTCTCAATAGTATAAATAGCTAGGTAGTGTACTGGATTCCCCAGCTTGAATCTCAACCTTGACAACCCCTCTGCTCTGTTGTTCATTCTCTGTCTTCTGGGCCTTGGCCAGGATGACTTCTTGTCTCTCCTTTGTCAAGACCAAGGCAGTTCCTGTAAATAGGGGACAACCAGATGATGTGTAGGGGCACAGCACAAGAGCATGCTGAGGCCAAGTCCCCCCCTCTGTTCAGGTCATTACATGTACTCAGCATGTATAACGGCCCACCATGGACAAAAATAGGGCTTACCACATAAATACCACCCCTGCAATGAATATGTCACCTGAAAGTCCCAGATCATCGATGTTCATTGACAATCATCAACTTTCGTCAATGTTTGTCAACGATCTCCAACTTTTGTTGACTTTCTTTGACTTTTGTCAAAGATTTCCACTGAAATACCCTGATCTTCAATGTTTGGCACAGATCAATATAGTAGGTTTCTTCAACTTTCTGTTACCATTTTCACTGTGAGCCTCTCATTCTTTCTTTGACATCTGGCCAGAATCTTCAAGAATCTTTATATTTTTCTTCAGGAATGTGTTGGACCCCAGGACTTTGCGAGGGGCTTGGCACACTCAACTCATGTGCCAGGCCTATGCCGGCTGCTCTGCTTGCATGCTGACTAACAGTCGGGCCGTGGGGACCCACCAATCTTAGTCCTACCCTGCTGACTAAGATTGGCAGGGTCCCACAGCACGCTGATTAAGTTGTTGCTCCCGCCCTTCTCATCACTGTTGTGGACAGCAAGCTCACTACTCACACCATTTCCAGTCCATTTCCCTTCATTTTTTTTGCTAGTATCAATGTATGTAGTTATTAATGAAGTTATGTAACATATATACTGTTGTAAACCCCCATAAGCTGTATAAAATGCGAAAACAATAATATGAATAACAGTCCCTCATCCATACCCAGCCCTAGGCATATTCCCCAGCCCAGGAAGCATCTGGACTATTTAATATAGGCACATATATGAGTGGGAAGACCACCATCCAGGCTTTGGGAGTGGCAGGATATACAGTATCATGGTGAGTAATTTACCTCTCCTCCTACCCCTCTTCCACACACCAATAATGCAACTATTACTATGGTTAGTAGCTCAATTTAATGGTACTACAATAGTGCATTTTTAGGGCCCTCTATTCAAGCCATTTGTGGTTTGAAGAGAGAGGGTATGACCCATGACTCTCAACAGTAGATATTTTATTAAAGAACCATACATGCATTTATGGCCAATTTGACTCAGTATATACTTAATAGTATTATGCCTTAGTATATATATGTATTTAAATATGGAGCGCCACACATGTGGGTAAAGATATGAGGAGGGGGAGGAGGAGCACATACCTCATCAGTCACCATGTCCTCCTGTCATGAATAACGCATATTGCACACTCTAGATAGACTCTACAGATGTGTAATATGTATACCTTGATATTTTAATAGTCACAATTAGAGAATAGACACTTGGGTGAGATGGTATTAAAGCAAGGAGGATATCTGCATAAAAAGCATGAAAATTGTCCACTGTCACATAAATACATTAAGTAAAAATAATATATATACCTAGGCATGTACTCATACATTCTAAGAGCCAGCTGAAAAAGAGTTTACGAAATTAGAGCAAGATTGAGGTGAGATATGGCTAGACATGATTGCATTAATCCACATGTAGTGACCGAGTTTCTGCCCTTCAAAATTCACTGTCTCATCCATATCTCACCTCAATCTTGCTCTAATTTCGTAAACTCTTTTTCAGCTGGCTCTTAGAATGTATGAGTACATGCCTAGGTATATATATTATTTTTACTTAATGTATTTATGTGACAGTGGACAATTTTCATGCTTTTTATGCAGATATCCTCCTTGCTTTAATACCATCTCACCCAAGTGTCTATTCTCTAATTGTGACTATTAAAATATCAAGGTATACATATTACACATCTGTAGAGTCTATCTAGAGTGTGCAATATGCGTTATTCATGACAGGAGGACATGGTGACTGATGAGGTATGTGCTCCTCCTCCCCCTCCTCATATCTTTGCCCACATGTGCTGCGCTCCATATTTAAATACATATATATACTAAGGCATAATACTATTAAGTATATACTGAGTCAAATTGGCCATAAATGCATGTATGGTTCTTTAATAAAATATCTACTGTTGAGAGTCATGGGTCATACCCTCTCTCTTCAAACCACAAATGGCTTGAATAGAGGGCCCTAAAAATGCACTATTGTAGTACCATTAAATTGAGCTACTAACCATAGTAATAGTTGCATTATTGGTTGCATTA